AACAACAACAACAACAACAACAACAACAACAACAACAACAACAACAACAACAACAACAACAACAACAACAACAACAACAACAATCATGCAGCAACAATCATGCAGCAACAAATATACAACAATATAACAATAGGTATAAATAATAAAAATATCTATATTTATAGAAGGAAAATTGCTGCCTGTACAACAGACACAAGAATGCATCAAGGTCTTAAAAAATAAAAACGTCGCAAGCAGGAGGTGTAATGAAAAGAAACCATCAGTTAAATGGATATGGACCATAGCTGGACAAATGTTGAATTTAAAAACACTTAGATGCCTCAAGGATACAAGAACAGTTAAAAGACTGAATGGAGAAATAAAAATACCTAAGCAATTCTCCATGGAACAATGCAACAAGAGCGCTTCTGAACAAAAATGGGTGTGCCCATCTCAAGATGTGGACTCTCAATATGTGAGAAATAATGGAACAGGGAATTTATGGGAATGGATAAAGCCAACTGATGCTTCATATTTTCAAAAATGTCCTGAAAACATATATTCATATAAAGGTACAATGTACATCGTAAGATTCGCATGAAAGTATAACTGCGTATTAAATACTCCTGAATACAGGCCGAACAAATTAACATAGTCTATAGTCTTCCAAACTCTGCAAGTTTTCTCTGGGTGCTCAGGTTTCTATCTGGATGTATACTAGCATGCACTAGCCTATAGTATTTAAAGGGAGGGAGAACAGTTTAGAGCTGATAAAACCAACCTGTATATAAAGTCTATACAGAATTGCATGATATAAAGAGAGATATCTAGTAAAAATTAAAACTGTCTATTTTCCCTGTTAACTTGACCTTGAATAAGTGACCATAAGGAAAAGATTATAACAGAAATTGAACTAATAGAGCTTTCCACGCATGCACTACGGAAAAAAGAGTACAGAACATATAGGGCTATCCAGTTTTTTCATATCCGTTTTTTCATATCTTGCTTACTTCTACAAATATTTTGATCGAAAGAAATGAAATGTCCGCCATCTTCAGTTTTTGTAGATATGCAAAACAGGGGTCACGCAATATTTTTTATCTAGACAACCACTAATCATTTTGCACTCAAAACTATACTGTCTGCCCTTCGAAATATCAAGATCACTCAAAATCTTTAAAACATCTACCAATCAATATTTGGTCAGCAACGAATGCTTTTATATGGTTATCCCGGTTGTGACGTCACTAAAACTACCGTTAATGAGATCAATGGCGGAAATCTCATTACTTCAAGTGAAAGTATTTCAAGAACTATAAAGCAAGAATGATATGAAAAATCGGTAAAAGAAGTTAATATATAGTTTCAAATGAGAAAATAAAAATTTATATTGCCATTTCCCTTTAAATCACAGTTAATAAAATAAGAATTAAATACTCCATCTAAAATCTAAAACCTCTTTACTGCATATCTTGAAAGGTTGCTATCGTTTTTCTGATGGAAATCATACAAAACTAATCAACAAGGCAAGATGTGATACTCTACATAATGGTACATGCGGCCTCAAAATACAAGCTCCAATTGATATTGGATACACTTCGTGTCAACTTGACTGGACAAAATCTACCCATACCATCAGTGGTTTTCTTTGGTATCCTTTTGATGGAACAATAGCAGGAGTTCAACTAAACGCAACACTCTATCCAGTTACTCTGCAGGTCAGTCTCGTTTTCCATCTCCAAAGTCTTCAAAATTTAATTAGAATTAACCATTAACCCGTGTTTACACTGCGAGCTTTCCCTCGCTCCGGCATTTTTGTAGTCTAAACAAACCAGCTTTGACCTATAGCCTAGCCTAGGCCTCGCCCGGATCAGGAATCCCGCAAAGCGTGTGATTTCATTGTACACGCGCGTGAATACGCGGTTCACGCGATATTTTTTAAATGCGATAATTAATTTGTTAATGGCAAATCTCGCGTGTGATTGCAAAACGGCACATGATAGTGCGGTACAATCTCGGGGTTCCTGACTCATATATGTGTAGCTAACATTCAAAAGGGGGGAGGGAGGGTTGTTCCATAAAATGTTATAGGCGGGGATTTTCCGCCGGCTTTCCGCCAATCCAACGCTATCTAACCAGAAAGTGAATTAATTTAGGAACAAATAGCCCTGTCGGAGGTCTTCAACAAAACAAGTTACTGGGGGAGGCAGTACACCCATGACCCGCCCAGTTCCGCCCCACCCGACATTATATGGGGAAGCGGAAATTCACCATAGCCCATTACCTGTGAAGTCATGGGGTTAATGCCTAAATTTGGCATGAGTGCTAGGTATATTTGATCAGGATTGTGCTATAACAAAATACACGTTGAAATTAAGTATTCCCCCTTAAAATTATATAACTGAATGTTATCGTTTCAATAATTTTAGATTAAGAATATAAGTTTTCTCCTATCTACATGGAAAGGCCACTTGCTCAGACTAAATATAAAATGCACTGATGATGAGGGAAGATCAGAAAGTCATTGTGCCTTACTCAAGGTTGAAGGAACCGCGACTGAGGAAGTAAGCAAAATTATCTATTACACATGACATTATATGTACTATTTAATATATTATATTATATTATTAGAAACTTAAACCAGTTACCCGTGTTACGGAATTAAACATTGGCTAGAATAAATCTAATTCCTCATTTTGTTTGTAAATCATTTATAATAAATAGTATGAAAGTTATAATCTTGAAAGGTTTGTACCAGTGCAGGTAATGCCAATAATAAGAAAGTTTCGGATTGATAGGGATGGAACTACCTGAAAAATACAAGGAGAACGTGGACCTGCTACTAACTTCCGACGAAGGACCTTCGCTCAAAACGTCGACGTTCTCTTTTCAAGTACAATCACTTTCAAAAGTTGTTGTGACACATCTATAGTTTTAGATTCAATCAATCAATCAATCAATCAATCAACTTTATTAATGAGGGTAAACGCATGACAGTGAAACTGATGAACCAGCGGCCCTCCTAACTATAGTACAGAAATAAGATAACAGAATAAATGGCTGCGTATAAGCATGCATACAGTAGGAATTTAATAACTAATGGTCTAGTAAAAGTTTAAAATACTTTAAGATGGTCCACATTTAATTTAAAATGTGTATTAATTAATGTGGTTTATAATGTGGTTCTCAAAGATGACCTAAAATATTTCAAAATCCTTTCAAAATTATTTTTTATAGATCCCAGTATCAATTGCAACAAGGACTACTGCCCCTCCTGTTTCACAAACTACGTCACAAATTACGTCACAACCTGGATCCACTATGTTCGAATATCACCAAATTAACATGTCGTCAACATCCACACCATCTCAAAAACTGTCTTCAACGAATACATCACAACCTAGTGTTAACAGCCAAGATCGAGAAGAAAATAAAGACTCGTCAGTAATTCTTCCTATCGTTATTGCAGCTGTTGCTTTGTTTTGTTTACTGTTAGCACTGGTTGTTATAGTGATCGTCTGTAAACGACGAAAAAGGTATATTATTATGTTTTAATACATCTATTATAGGAGTTTGTAAAGCCACGTATCTAATTATGTTATTAGAGCAATTGTCCGAGAAGATTCTACATACACAATTCGAAATCTCGTTTTTCATTTCCAATATTATTGCACGCGTTCAGGGATACTTAGACATACAACAAGTTTGTCACAACTTTTTGTCATATAGTAAGAAGGCAATTTTGTACAATTTTATTATTAAAGAACACGTTACGAAGTTACTACTCATTTCTCTTGTAGAAAAAACGACGATGCTAATCAAAACGAAGAACACATTTATGAAGGTATCATCAATATATAGTTAAACCTACTATATTTATACTAGATCTTATAGCGCTCGATCTTTTAGCCGGCATCACACTTGAAGAAGTTCATGAACTTTTTCAAATTTTTCGCATTTGTGCAAAAGGTGTGACGATATTATACGGACTCATTGCAACGATCTTTAATTTAAATTTAGTAAAATAACATTACTTTCCCCTCAACATGATAAACATCATCAAATTACGTATTGTTGCGAGGACATAAAGCGTCGCTTAGCAGGTGTCAGTACGAGTGGATATATTATAGAAGTTTTCAGGTTAAAGAGGCAGGGGTCAATGTTACGATCAATGGGACCAACGCTCTTGAGAGTCAGGACTGCTAGATTTCGGACCATTTGAAGATTTTCTAAGTCATTGATACTGACAGTAGGTAGTTGAAAGAAATGACATAACTCCCATGCAGTCATGGACAAAGACGTTTAGTCATTATCATCGATTGTTGTTAATTGTATTGGAGAAAAAAGTCGTTAGCTGAGTCAGCCAACTATAGAAATTTATGGCCCATCGCGATTTGACTAGACATCTTTCACATTGACTGGAAAATTTTAAATACTTTCATATTCTGTACTATATAGAAAATATATGGAAAAGGTTCAAAATGACATGGAAATTATATGGAAATTCAATTTCCAAAGTTTTACACACTTGCATAGTATGAAAATTTTCCAGAAAAAAGTGAACATTCTCTCTAGAAAACCAAGTATGGAAATGTTTCAAAATTTCCAGTGATTTTCAAATAACTTCTGTCAGGCACACAAAAATCTTCGACCTCTGTAGAGAGGTATCCGTATTAGAGAAGACTGGAGAAAGGTTCCGATTTCACTTCCACTACCGCTACGATTACGGGACCATTAACCATTCAGGTGCGTTTGATATTTAACAAATATAAAACATTTTCCGTGTTGATATTCAGTTATATCAACACGAGTGGAAATTGGGAAAACGAGAAATTGTGTGGAAACACGTTTTCACACAATTTCGAGTTTTCCCAATTTCCACGAGTGTTGATATAACTGTATATCAATACGGAAAAAAATGTCTTATATTTGTTTTATAATATAGCACAAAGAAACATAAAGAAAGAAATTTTCCGACGTTTCCGTGTTGACAGTGAGTTATATCAACACGACTCTTAGCCAATCAGCGTTCAGAATTTACAAACGCTACATTATAAACCCCTTTAACCAATCAGATGCGTATGCTGAGCCAGGGAGAGGTTATGGTAGCAGTAGTGGGCGTCAAATCTGAAGCTCTATTGTATCTTAAAGAGATGTCTGTATTAGAGAGGTGCCGGTATTATATATTTGTCCATATAGTGAATTGCCCATATATTGGTGAATGGACCTTTCACCTTTTGACTAAAATTTAGATCTCAACAAGTCTAGACAAAAATTTTATCACAGCTTGAAAGAGCATCACAAAATTAGTAATATTCCGAACTTTCGTTGCGAAATGTTGTAAAATGCGGATAATATAGCCTTGCGAAGTTTGCAATTTTCAGTCATATTTTGTATTACGCGCGGGAAATACATACCTCCTTCAGAAAAAGAGTATGTATTTCCCGTTTGTATTAATACAAAATGACTGAAAAACGGCAAACTTCGCAACGCTATAGTATCCGCATTTTACAACATTTCGCAACGAAACTTCGGAATATTACTAATTTTGTGATGCTCTTTCAAGCTGTGATAAAATTTTTGTCTAGACTTGTTGAGATCTAAATTTTAGTCAAAAGGTGAAAGGTCCATTGTCCATATTAGAGTCTGTTACGTGCAAAATTGTAATATCTGCTTAATAATTCCACCTACGCAGAACCCCATCCTGTAGACAATGGACCAGCCTCACCTATCTACATGGAAATTGACGATATAACCAGAAGCAAGAGCAAGAAAAGTAATAGCAGCAAAAAAAGAAACAAGAGTCAGTCGAGTGAAACACCGCCGGATCCACTATATCACACATTGGAGAAGCCAGACCGTGTGGAAATTAATAGCAAGAAAAGTAATAGCAGCAAAAAAAGAAACAAGAGTCAGTCGAGTGAAACACCGCCGGATCCACTATATAACACACTGGAGAAGCCAGACCATGTGGAAATTAATGACATTTATGAAGCACTAGACGACGCGCCAAAGTCTCCCAATCCCACGCCTCAGCCGTTTGAAAAAGAATTAGATGTTTAAATTTATTTAAGGATACATTTTCCAGAGAGAAAGACATAATGTTAAATATTTATTATTTATTTCTATAAATAAATACCCGTTTATACACTTACAATTTTCGCTGCAATTTTCTTCTTCTGACGGATGTGAACGAGTTATAAATGTTCAGATGAGGATAGTTGACCATTTGCGTAATAGACTAAATTTTGATCTAAACAAGTCTAGACAAAAATTTCATCACAGCTTGAAAGAGCATCACAAAATTAGTAATATTCCAAAGTTTCGTTGCGAAATGTTGTAAAATGCGGAAAATATAG